TAAAAATTAATAAATTGAAATTTATAATAAAAACATAGTAAGTAGACTCAAACTTTTAGAAATATCTATATACAGTATTTAAATACTATAAAAATATTTAATTTTTTTTATAAATTAAAATATTTTTTTAAAATTTTATTAATTTTTTTAAAAACATTTATCATAATAAAAAATATATTTACTATTTATAAAATATATATATTATATTTTATATTATAAAATTTGTAATATACTTTTTAAAATAGTTTTTTTAAGCTTTAAAATAGAATTTTACAATAAATTTATTAATAAATTATCAAATAAACTTTAAATAAATAATTTTTTTAAATCTAAAAACATATTTTAAAAAAATTTTTATATTGGCAAAATTTTTTATTAATAAAATTTTTCAAAATTAAGTGTTCCACACTATATTTGATTTATTGATATTGTTAAAAATCTAATTTATAATAAGAAACTTGATGATTAAAGAATAATACAATTACTAAGGAAGCAAAATATGCTTTAAGAGAAGATAGACTTCAATGACAAATGTCTTTTTTGTATATGATTAGAAAAAGGTAATAAAATTCAGAATTTATTACTATAATTATTTTGTAACTAAAATATCTCAGTTTAATAAAGTCTCACATTTAATGGCATTTTGCCAAATATATATAGTATATTAATAAAGTCTTTGAACAAATCTTTGTATCATAAAGTTAATCTAGGTAGCTTTTTATTTTTAACAATATATATAAATATAAATATATAATAAAATAAAAAAGCTACCTAGACTAACTTTATGATACAAAAATTTGTCTAAAGACTTTATTAATATACTGTATATTTTCATGTGAAAATAGTATGTACAGCAAGCCCCAAACTTTACATAAATCTTGTCCGGCACACGTTTCAACGATTATACCGAATGGAAAGTCCAGGAGAAGGAAGAATTCAAGGAGCCTCGAGATCAGAACCACAGCACGGTAGAAAAATTAAAAATGCGGTAATTTCTTCGTGCCCTTTTTTAATTTTAAATCTAACTGGTCTGATTACAACAGTAACTAATTGACTTCATATTAGCGGTCAATAATACATTCAAATTTTAACTTTTTGAATGGACCCTGGTGGAAAGCCTCTTTTGATGAACGTGATGCTAATTATTTTGTCTCAAAAGCCAAACACCTTCAACAGGCCATATCATTGGCAGTTAATGAAAGTGATGCGGCTTTTTGGAAGGGATACATTGATCTTCACCGTGAACATTATCTGCTCGAATGTATTTCCGCAGAAAGTGACATTGAACTCACCATCGAATTTATACAACAGGCTCTAAAAAAACCTGGTTTTCTTGAAGTATTTTTGAACTGGCTTTGTGGAAATTTTTTTACATCATTTTTCATACCCGAAAAGACTTCATGTTTGAATAAAAAAGTGAGAAATGTCCACAACACCATTGTTGGCATTTTTCCATCAATCTTTTTTCCTGATCTTCCGATAGATCAGTTTACGCCTTCGTTTGCGCAACAGTTACACCGGCAAATTGGTGACGGGTTGATTAGCAAGGCGGGTCAGTATAGAACACGATATATTATGCCAGCACAAGAGGACTTTGTATATATGAGACCGGATTTAATCGAAAACAAAATGGAAGAGTTATTTAGTCAATGCAGAGAGAAATTTGAAAGAACAGATTTGCAACTGGAGGAAGCTATTAAATACGGAGCATGTTTTCTTGCCTACTTCTTGTTAATTCACCCTTTTATGAATGGAAACGGAAGAGTAGCGAGATTGCTTTTAAGTTATCTCTTGTCAAGGTTTACTGTGGTTCCTCTTTCTTTATATAAAGGGCTTAAAACACGAGAAATTTATTTACAATGTCTTCGTGAAGCACAGCGGTATCAGGAATCATTCGAACCCAGCGCACTTGCAACCTTTATTCTTGAATGTGTATACACGACATCATATAATATATGTGTAGGGATGGATATAGATTTTTGAGTTTATTAATGACTCGAGGTCCATGAAACCTATTTTTTTAAAAAAAAATAATATATAGTATAGAGGAATTTTTCTATTTATAATATTTCAAGTTTTTATAAGGTAGAAAGGGTGTAGATGGGTATTATGGCCTTCGGAACCAAATTTTTTAAGTGCATTATAAATTTTCAAATTTTAAATGCAAAGCCCCTTTTTTACTTTATATAATATTCATTAGTCAAAAAAGGTTTGTTTTTTAATAAACTATAATATAGAATAAAATAATATTTTTGATATCAAAATGCAAGTAATAGGTAAAGTGGACTCTAAAACTCATTTTTCAATTAAGTTTCTCAGGTAATAATTAAGTTGAGGTCTTCAAAAATCTTTTGAGGAGTTTTGAATTATTTTCTCTATCTTCATTTTCAGTTTTTTAATTTAATAATTCATCATTTTATAGGATAATCTATAATAATAAATTGTTTTTTAACCCTTTATCAGGATGCTTTATTAAATGTTTGTATATTTATATTATAAAATGTTTTACTAAAGCTAAATATCTATCTAACTCACTTATTTCTGTTTTAAATTTATTAAAACTTTAAGTGTAATTTTGGAAGTAATTTATTATTCTATTAATAGTACAGATAAAAATCCTTTCAACTGTTAACTTTATTATCTGCAGATTACTACTGTAAATCATTTTTCAATATTTGACTAGGTTTAAAACCTTAATCACTTTATTCTATACTTCACTCTTTTTATTAAGATCTTTTTAAAATTTTTATTTTTTAGGTTTTTTTTTCAATAATAATTCTTTTTTTGTTAAAGATATAGTTTTTTGGTCTAAAAAATATAGAGATCTTTTTGTTTTATATTTTCTATAAATTCCTTGTATTTATTTTTATTTAATTATCTTTTCACTCTTATTTCAGATTCTTTTTCAAATTTGATTACAAATATTTTTTTATATAATATTTTAGATTTATTATTTTTAAAATAAGATTATTTTTATAAGGTCAATACAAAAACTTAAAATGTCTTGACTAGTTTTAAAAGTCTATTTCATTAGTCTAGAGATTCACTTGTTAAGATCATTTAATTTTTCTTAGTCATCCATAATTAATTTATTATTTTTTTCTTTAATGTTAACTTTTTTTTTCTTATAAAAGTTCTTTTCTTCTAAGTTTTTGAGAATTCTATCTACTTTTTTATTCCATACTTCTTGAAGTTAATCCTTATAGACTAAATATTTTTGCAAATATTTTATTATTTTATTTTATTGGTTATATATAATATATTTTACTTGATTATATATAAAATCTTCTAATATATATATAATTAAAAACTCTTTTCGCTGATCCTCTAACCATACACAAAAAAGATGTTCGCAAGAAGTTTTATACTTCTTTGCTAATAAAGTCTTTACACTTTAATTAAAATAACTTGAAGCTTGTTTTCATGTATCTCTTTTATCTTCCCTTACTTGTTTATAAACTCCTTTGAATAAAAACTTGACCCTTTAGTGGCCTGAAAAGACTCAAGTACGCACTTTCTCTACTAAGTGCAAGAAGGTTCTAGGAAGTA